GTTTTTTGTTTTCTTGTATGAAACTCATATATACAGGCCTAATGTAGACTTGACAGGGAAATTAATTTAACCTAGGCCTTTTATTTGTTGAAAAGACTTAAAGGTGTAACTCAGCCTGTCCTCTTGGTTTGAAGCAGGATCAGTTACTGAGATTGGTCTTGGGTAATTTTGGATTAAGCTGGTATTTTTTTAACCTTGTATTAAAACCCTGCAGCTGCAGGCATTCAACATGTCATCAGTGCTCTCTTTTAATTGTTACCTGGAAAATTTGCTTTAATCTGTCTGAACCTTCCCACAACTGATAGACACAAAACGCTGTCTAGGTTCTTGTTATACTGGTTAGTACTGGGAGGACATGAGAAGTAATTAATGAATCACTCTTTATAGCTTTTGCATAGAGACTTGTGCACAGACTTTGTGTACAAAGCAAGTTTCCTTCACCAGAGAATAAGAACCAAAAATCCTATTTGCCCTATATTTAATAGGCTATGGTTTATTTTTAGAGCATCAGCAATGTGTAGGTTTGTTTAAGTGACAGATGTAGTGCCACAGGTGGGAAATCTGAGTAAACTGCTGAAGCTGAAACTCCTCAGATTTTTCCTGAGTGCCTGGCAGGGCAGGAAAGTGTGGCCAGGGCCAGGTCCTTAGGCTATGTAGCAGCTAGTGGAGCCCGATACAGGCAGTTCAAGTACCGTAAATTTTGGATACCTGCATTGGCTTTTCCCCAGAAGCCACATTAGTTTAAGGAAGCAAACATTGCCAGTGAGGGGCATCATGAGAATGACTGGGAATGCAATGCAATCTCGTGTGACGTTCCCTGGTCATCCCAGTCCAGGAGGTGCCATCATTCTGATAAAGTTCACATTTGCCCCTAACTTCAGACTAGGGATTTTATCTAATGCTATTGTTCTCTTCAACTCTCGTAACAATTGGCTCCAGCTTCATCTCTGGCCCCTGGGTCTGAATAATCTTCAATGTTCTCTATCCTTATGATCACTTCATCTACTTCCACCCACTTCTAATTTCTCTCCTACATATCAGTACTTCTCAGAGCCTTTTCATTTTCTTTCTCTCTCCTTGCTATTAACCTCGTCAAATACTCTTGTTTCTGTGGTAGAATTGGGAATTGAAAGCATCAGTGCTTTTGGATGAGATATGGTAAGAAAACAGTTTCCAACTTTCAAACAACTCTGCTGCTGCCCTTGTTGGAAAAAGTTGCAGGGTTTCATAAAGCAAGGTCAATGGGTGGGCAAAATATAAAGGGTCTAAAAGTGTCAAATTCATAACTTCAAGGGAATATAGATCTAAGTACTTCTCCTGATTCCATGTGTTGAATCTGCATGTGGTCTTTGAATTTCGGCGATGCATGCAGATGGCAGCAATGCAGGAATCTCAAGGTTTGTGGAAGCAGAGCAGCAAGGTGGGAGAAGCGTACTCCCAGCCAGTGTCACCCCTCTTTCTGAAGCACAACACGGTGTGGCTTCATTTTGAATGTGACCTGTAGCGTTTGGCTGGGTGATGCTGTAGCTCTGCACTATGTCATTTGTTTTTAAGTGATTACTTTATCATAATTTTGTTAGGCTTTTTTTTTTTTACTTTTTACTCCTGACATAATTAATCTCTCAGGGAGTGATGCCAAATTTTTCCAGTTGTAAGCTATTAATAGACAATAGATCGCCAGCAGTTTTTTACTATGAGAAGCACACATTTATTCAATAAAACAAGGTGCCTTCCTAAGACACTGTTAATTTGGAGGGTTTTTTTGTTGTTGTTGTTTTTTTTTTAATGGAGGAAAAGAATAAAAGAGAATCTACTCATAATTCATCAAGGCTGCAATCTATAAAGCGATTACTATGGAGAATATCAACTTCCCACATTTGTGGTGACAGGGAGATTTCGTCTTTTTTTGTGGGTTGATAGCTTTAGGAGATTGCAGCGAATCTGTTAAGATGCCTGTCATATCACCAACATAAATTGCAGGGGGTGGCTTTACGCCGGGGAGGCCTTCCTGACAGAGAACCTTCCATCAAAACCCTACTGTGAGTGCAGGACATGTTCTGCGAGCGGTTCCTGGCCCTGGAGAGCAGCCGGGGCTCGGGGCAGTGTGGGCACCAGCACGGTTTCAGCATGGTAAAATTGTTTTAAACTGCTGCTGCTCCCAAATTCTCTGTCGTCGTCCCTCCAGCTTCTCCTGCAAGCAGGGGGCTGCGAGGTGACGGGCCGAGACAGGTTTATCCGGAGGGACTGGAGTATCTGAGGGGAGGAAAGAGCTTTTTGTTTCCTCTTCTATTTATAATCCCTCTTGCTTTCAGCAAAATTCAATGAAATGGCAAATGGGCTGATGCAATTCGGGTTTCTTATCCCACTGTGAATCCGAGGATGGTTCTCCTGCCCTCAAGTAAAGCTGAGGAAGTGGGAGCAGCTTTTAGTTAAAAATAAGTCAGCAAAGCCTAAAACCTGTGCAGAAGCAGATCTTTCAGGTGCTGGGATAATTTTTACAGAAGAGACTGCAATGACTACACAGTTTGGACTCTCCTCAGTAAGAGGATGGCAACTTTCTTCTTTTAAAATCCCACCTCAGGCTCCTAACGCCTCTGTTGAGGTGCGGGGTGTGCAGGTGCTGGCGGGGGCTGCAGGGCCCCTGTGAGGAGAGATGGGGCTGCCCCGTGCTGGACAGCGCCTGTTCCGGGTGGTTCCAGCCAGTTCTAGCAGGTTCCAGGTGGTTCCAGCCGGTTCTAGCAGGTTCTGGGCGGTTCCGGAGCTTTCCCGCCACAGGGCAGAGCTGAGCCCCCTCAGCGAGGCTGGGGGCCTCTCTAGGGAAGGGTGGTCAAAAAAGGGGCAAAAGGCTGCCTGGGTGTGAGGGGAAAAAAGTGTGAGAGAGCAGTGTGAGCCCCAGGGGAGGAAGTAGAAGAAAGAAGAAGAAGTAGAAGGAAGAAGAAAAAAAGAAAGAAGAGGAAGGTCTCCAGGCACTGGAGCAGGCATTCCCTGCAGCCCTGAAGGACCCCGTGCTGGGATGTCCTGAAGGAAGCTGCAGCCTGTGGAGGGGCCTCAGGCTGGAGCAGGGGAAGAGCATGAGGAAGAAGGAGCCGGAGAGGAGCCATTAGGTACTGAGTGTAACCCCCTGCTCCCCGTCCCTCCATGCCGCCTGGGGAGAGGCAGAGGAGCTGGGAATGAAGGTGTGAAGCTGAGCCTGGGGAGGAGGGAAGGCGTGGCTTTAATTTTGTCTTTTTCTTACCATCCAAATCATTTCTAATTGGCAATAAATTAATTTTCCCCTGGTTCAAATCTGCTTTGCCTGAGATGGTAATTGCTAAGTGTTCTCCCTGCCTTTATCTTGACCCATGAGCTTTTTCATCTGATTTTCTCCGCCCATCCTGTTGAGGCCGGGGAGTGAGAGGGGCTGGGTGGGCGTCTGGGTGCAGCCCAAGGTCAACCCACCACTGTTGATTTGGCAAATATTGTCACACATCTCATATTCTCTGCCTTATTCTGAATTTTGGACACTGGGGGTTTTTTTTGCTCTTAGTTTATTTTTAGTTTTACCTTTCTTATCAATATTCATCACAAAATGAAGTTGCATTCAAATTCTGTAACCAGCAACAGTTCTTCTGGCCTGTTTTGGTTCTACTCTGGGATTTAATCCCAGTGAATGCCCAGAGAGGGAAGGATCTCCATGAGGTCCTCTGACAGCCCTGTCTTGAAGTTGGTATGTCTGGAAATACAAAATTGGCTGAAGAGGACATTTGAGTAACTTCCCAGGAGTGTTCTTAGGCCATCCAGTATGAGATTCTGTTTTTTAAGACCAGTTGTAGATACTACGTAGTCAGAAAAAGCATAGGTATTGACCAGGCTGTGAGAGTATCTGGGATAATTTTTTTTTTTCTTTAAGAACAATGAAAACAAGAAGTTTATACAGTAAATTTAAACAATTATGCAGAGTGCTTTATTTTCAGTAAAACTGTTGTCTTTGATCTTTTGTAGTCTGTATTAATTTCTGGAAGTGTAATGCAGTTTTAAAAGATCCAATAGCAATGAAATGTAAAATCAAAATAGCGAGAGCATGCAGATAAGTGAAAAGTCTACAGCAGCAGTAACTGAAGGAGCAGGTAGGGAATATAGAACAGATTGCCTGCAAAAAAACCCTTCACACGCAAATATGTTGTTCAAAGATGTCAAAACCTGAAAAGCTTACTTAACAGTTACAGATTTGTGGTGAAGACCTCTTAATCATGTAGCTGGTAATTACATCACTAATATTTTTTCCAGTATTTTGTGCAAAGTGAATCTACTGGACTCAGGAACTTGATGCAAGGTCTCAACCCTTTTTCCTGTCTTTATGCCAGCCTTTCTAAATATTTTAAAACTTCCATGTAAAGTGAGACAGGATTATTGACAGCTACTGTTTATTAAAAGTTCTCATATTCCTCAGTTATGTTGATAATACAGCTCATGTACTATATCACAATCCTGGTAGTTTGTAAGAAATGTTGTAGTTTGTTTTTTCTGTTATGCAACACTTTTGCAGTTTACTGTGAAATTCAATATTCTGTAAACAACCAATTCCAAGCATAAAGATTTACTGGAGATCTGAAACCACTTTGTGAGCAGAAGAGCCTTTAGACATCCCGGGTTTCCATGAGAAGGGTTACAATGTCTCTACTGCTACTGCCCAATTTGTAGAATTTGCCATGCATTTTGTGCACTTGATTTGAGTGATCCCAAAGGGGTAATTTACAAAGTGTGTTGTTTATCTCCTGCCTCCCCAGTTAGCACAGTCAATATCTCTTCATCCCACTGAAAGTGCATATTCACAAGATTTGCCTATGAACTATAGTCAGACAAATATAAAATTTGCTTGAAAGTTTTTCCCCTTAGTTTTTTATCTAAGACATTTATCCCTGAGATGTGTAGACAAGCCAATAGCATAAAGATGTTTGAAGTTTGTGTTCCAAAGCGGATACTTCTAATTGTGTTCTTTCTTTCTTTTTTTTCTCCTCCAGTGGAATTTGATGACTGCAAGGGGAATAACAAATTGAACTTCGAAGTTTCTAACCCAGACTTTAAGGTGGAACGAGACGGGTCTTTAGTTGCGCTAAAGAATATATCAGAAGCTGTCAGAGCCTTGTTTGTCCATGCACGGTCTGAGCATGCTGAGGATATGGCAGAAATTTTGGTTGTTGGACCAAATGAAAAACATGGTGCATTAAAGGTAAGATAAATACAAACAACTAGAAGAAAGTGCCAAGGAGATGCTGTTAGATATTTACATGTGCCATCTACAACTGTAAGCAGTTCTAATCTGTTAAGAGAGATCAAAATTAGTCTTCAATCCAAATATTGCTGAATGTTTTAGCATTTATTTTAATTTAAAATACAAATTTCCCAGGTTTGAAGGATGTATTACAGCTTCAGGTGTAAACGCTAAACATTCATAAAGAATTGATTCAAATGGAAGAGCCCAAGTATGAAAATTGGTGGGTTCTTCTGTGGTACGTTATGCTGGATAATCACAGTTTGTCCATAACAGAAAATGGAAAATGGTAGTCGAAATGTGTTATTTAGAATTCACAGAACCTTCGCTCCAAGGCTAAGAATGTGGGAATGAATTCTATGCTGTGCAATTTAAATTTTCATATTGGTCTGCTTATCTGCTATTGTTATGTGTTAAAGTCTATAAACATCTGCACACAAATAGCAACATGTATTTGCACTCTCTCTGTGCTGGTGATTTCTGTGGCACTCTGTGGAACTGAATGCCGTGTCCTTTGTTCTCAACTTTTGAATCTCGGTGTAATACTAACGTCACACTATGGGGAAAAAGTGCTTCACAAATTGATTGAATTGTTTACTTCACACCCTTGAAAGTAACAAAAGGAAATGTGATATAGCCTTCACTTCTGTGTCATGGCATTTAGAAGAGGGGCAGGCAAGACAGTGGCTCACTAGACAATTAAGCCTGGTACCTTTATAGACTTAGAATTTCAAGGAAGCATAAAGAAGTGATAAAAATAACTGACCTATTGTCTTATTTTGGTATTTCGATTTTCACCTGCCATGAGCATTCTCATTATATTTCCAACAATAGCTTAGTATAACTTAAGTCTTCCATTAAAAAAAAAAAAAAAAAGCTTTAGGGGAAAGGTTGAACAAACTTCTGAAAGTCCATGGCTGAGGAGAGGTTTTGATCTGCACTTTAAGCAGCACATGATGGGAATATAGATTGTCAGCTGGAGAGAAAGTACCAGAATGTGTAACTGCAGAGGGCTGATCGGAACACTTAAATGGAAGTTATTTTGCTTTAAATACACTGTTTCTTCACTAAGTTAAATTTAAACAAGGTCATACTTGAGACAGTGTCTTTATGTAGTGGAGCTGTAGATTTAGGACCACGCACTGCCAAATTCAAAGCAGAAAACTACACTTGCAGGAGCTGGGCACCTGGCTGTCCTGTGTCTCAATCTAGCAAGGCATATTCCTTCTGGTGCATTCACAAAAATGTTCAAATGATTCTGTTTTCAGTGTAGGCTTTGAAACCTTATGAGCAATTTCAAAATGGGGATTCTTGTTCTTCAGTTAGAAGTTACTGAAACGACAGAGGAATCTGAGACATTTCTGACAGGAGGTCTGGAGTTAAACTTCAGGGGATTGGTTTATGTGTGAAGAGCTGGCTCTCTGAGAATCATATCTTGCAGTTTTATTCTGGTTTTCTCAGAGAAGCAGCCCTTCGATGTCAATGTGGAAGTTACAATCTAAGGAAATCTTGTCTCATAAGTAGGAATTAACAGATGTGTATTTGCACTAAGTGTGATATAGCTTTGTCAGTGATGTTTTCTCTTTATGTCCTATTTGGGTTCTGGGTAGTCTCCCCTCAAAATGTTCCAGCAATGTTAATTGAAATCTATCACCAGACTACATTCAAAAGCCAAGTCTAATTTGGCATCACTCCTGGATTCTGTTTCAACCACTTTGTTTTGCTTCAGAGAGAGAAAACCAATCTAAATCTAGCATATTCTACCACTTGACAGTCTTCCCTCATAGATGACTCCTCAAAGCAATATCACAGTGTCATCTCTACCTGCATTCGTCACTTCTTTATGGATTTTGACATTCAGCTCACAACGAGAAGGTTACCTGTTTAGTATGGTGATCCTTGGTGTCTGCGGTGCCATTGGGAGTTACATGATGCATTAATGTGCCCTGGGAGATCCATCTAGTGAAGATCATCCCCTTCTTCAAGTGAATATAAAGATCTTTGGGGCTGCCTGTCCTATTCTGGCCACAGCCACCACTCTTTAGCTGTTAAATTAGCATTTCTTACCAACCTTTTCAGCTATTATTTGCCTATTTCAAACACAACACAGACAGTCTTGTCTTTCTGTTTGTCGTACTTGAGAAGGATATAAAGATTACAGCACACTATCTAAAGTGATTTTATGATAAATTTGAACTTAATCCTGTACTTCTGCAGCCTGAATGTGTCAGCATGGAAGCAGCAGAACTGCTCCATCTGTTTATGCAAGGAGTCTTGGCTAAGAAACGCTCAGATGGAGCCTTAGTAATTCAGCATAATTCTGTAGGGTTAAGATGAGCACATGCTAGAGCACTGCTTAGCATTCAGTGCTTAGAGTATAGTACCTTGTTTAATTAGGGGATAAGTAGTTCTTAAGTATTTCCACACTGCCAGTGACTGCCATTTCTTTTCTGAAAGCATATAACCTACATCTGTGAAATTCCACTGTTAATGTGTCTAATTGCAGATTCCCAACATATTTGGAAATGACTGACAACAATGATCTCTGTTGTGCTGACTGGAATCCAGGCCTAGGAAGAGATAGCATCATTCCTAAAACTTTGTGATTGCTACTATCTGTTCTTTAGACGAATATTGAAAATATTTAGAGGTGCAATCTGGAGTGTGTATCAGAAAATCTTTCAGTATTGTAGTAGTGGAGGGGTGTGTTTCTTTCCTGCTGAAGATGTGGGAAGATTCCATCTGGACTCACTGATTGGCGTCAGTGAGTTAAACTAACTTCGTGGCCCTAGTGCAGTCAGTAGCTGTTAGAATACCACTTACTATTTAACTCTGCCTTTTGAGTCTTCTGCCAGAAGAATATTAGGTCTGCAGAGCCTGCAGCTTTCTATCTTAAAGGTGGCCATGGCTACAATATGAGAAGATAGAGGGTTCCTCAACATCATCAGCCAACTTGGCTGTAGCTCTCTGATCACAGAGTCTTTTGCAAGGTCTAGTGACAGAAGAGCAGATATAGCACTGCTGCTTTTGCAGATGCCTTGATGTTTCTGCAGAATACACTTAAACCCTTGAACATCTATACCTACAGATAAATGCATACATGCTATTGAGAGCAAAAGCCTGTACAACAGAATACAGTTGGATTGCTTTCTCCAACCTGCTGTTAATGCCCCTTTCCTCCTATGGTTTTGGCTGGATATATTGGTTTCCGTCTCTCTTGACAGAACGGATTATTCACAAAAAAGCTACTGTCACTTGGGAGGCCTGTGGAATATGAGTGCACAGAAGAGTTGCCATGGGCCTATTGAAGGTCTAACATTACACTGTATCATCTTTTTAATAGTTATGTGTATGTACACACTTGTAGCCTCAGGCAATTGGTGCTCAATGAAAGAAAGGAAGTTCACTTGCGTTCACCATGGGGTAGTGCTGGTGAGGCATGTACATCTGTGCTTATGCTCTGCTTTACCCAATGGTGGCTCAATACTCTTTCACACGGTTGGGACTTGAGTGCTTGATGATATTAAAAGAGATGGAAATGTTTTGATTCACCCAGGATTTCCAGCGTGAACTTTGGGTTCATTCTGAATAATTCATAGAATTGCTAAGGTTCAGATCCTTAATGGAAAAATAAATCACTTGCAAGACCTAGTTGGAAAAAAACTGACCAAGCCAATGAATAGCAATAATTATTTTTTTAATTTATGTCTTAGCCAATGCCTGGTCCCTGCTTTATTTTATGGAAATAGTAGAACAACTTGAAGTTGGACATTTCATCACATCTGTGCATTTGACCAGACATTAGTGGATTTATTTAGAGTCTGGTTTTATGGAAGAAAGAAAATGTAGCCAATCTTTTGTGTAGTGTCGTAACAACATCTTGTGAGTTGCAAAATGCAGCAAGCTGGGAATTGATCTGTGTCCTTCAAGGCTAAATAAAATGGTTGTCTGCTAGTCCTTCTCCCACTTTGTAATCTAATGCTGGTTTTAATTAATATATCCTTAGTACACTGGGAACTAAAAGCAGAACTTAGGAAACCATCTTTTTCTGCCTTTTTGTGTGTGTTGGCAAAATGCAGCCTTCCCCCTTCCCCCTCCCCCCCGCAGCAAAGGGAGTTATTTAGGACATTTATTTGTTACAGCATCACAGACACAGTGTGAGGGGTTGGGGGGGGAGTGAGATATCAAGAGTCTAGCACCAAAGCAGATAAGAGGGCAGGCAGATATTCAGAAATTCCAGGCTGGTAGTAACTTCACTGTATGGTGCTCAGCAGTCCTCCATACAGAAGGATGAAATGATTAAATAGAAACTGTCAAACCCTCAGGACACTTTTCAGGCACTAGATGGAAAAGGAAACAGAGAAAGAAAAGAAGAGATAAGAGGGAGGAGTGCACCCTGAGACAGCATGTTGTAGACAAAGAAAGTTTAAAATCATCTCCAGCAGTAGTTCAGGTTGAAGGAAATGAAGTTGCTCTAGTCCTGCTACTACGTCCGGTCCACTATGTAACAGCCAGGGACTAGTCAGATATGCTGCTTCTACTCTTCCCTTTGCCAAACTATAGCTTTTCCCAACAGCAGTGCCCTGCAATGTTTATTATGGCAGGTACAGGAGCGGCAGCTTCCCCGGCCACCTGGCAGACCTGAATTCTGTTTCCTACTAAATCACTGCCTGGATGTGTATGTTTGTGCAAGTTGCTTTATGCCTGTGCCTCTGTTTCCTAAAGTATCAAACAGAAATAACGAAAGTAAGCTCCTTGCATTTCAATGTTAGCGTTTCTGGTTTGTGTCTTGTTCTCTGCTTTATCCCTGCAGTATAGAGATTGCAAATTTTATTGATATGAGATAAAAAGTGCCTAGAGCCTTAAATCCTATATGTATGGCTTTGTGCCTTAGAACAGATAATAAAGGATCAATAATCTTATTATGAATCAGGATTCTCTCACAGAAAAAATATTCA